TCCGATGACCATCAACATCAGTTTGCCTTGAACACTCCAATGTCGTTTTCAGTTCGTTTGATGAAGAGCGAAGGTTTACTCGGTAGTATGCTGTATTACGATGGTCAACTGAACGACTCTAGGATGGATCTTGCCATTGCCATGACGGCTACGGTAATGACAGGTGCTAGTTGTCTGGTGGTGCAAAGTGATGCAGGTGGATGGTTACATTGATGGATGGGTACCAGCTACTGTAGTGAACCATGCTACAGTAGAACATGTGAGGAAGAATGCTCAAGGGCTTTGTGATGGCGTCCAGTAATACTCATATAGACTTATCCACGTTAGGCTTGTTCCACGGTCATCTGCTTTGATGGTCGTGGCACAGCTTCTTCGACTAACGGAAGGAATGTCTTTTTTGATGCAGAGTTAAGGACGAGCTGAGTGGTGATACATTCGAAGTAACAGGCAAGATAGTGATCAACGCGACTGGAGCTAGGGCCGACTTCCTCCGGAGGGATGTAGACCCTGATGCTGGTCCTAAGATAGCAGTCAACGCTGGAGCACATATCATATTACCCAAGTATTATCAGGAGCTCGTCCTTGATGATGTCACGTTAATTGATACGTAGGTCGTATGCTCCCCGACCATATGGCATGCTCATCCCGTCGACTAGCAAGAGCCATACCACACTTTGCTACTTCCCCTGGGAAAGTAATACCCTCCATTCTGTATTCTCACTGGGTCTCACTATCCGTAGGCAATACTCTCGTCGGCGCTGTTAACCACAGTGCTGACTTGACCGACTCCCAACCACACCCATCGGTAGAGGTTCTAGATGTTATTCTAGACGAGAGCACGGAGTATCTGCATGTGAACAGAGAGGATCTTATCCAAGTTAGACCAGAGCCGTGCTATTGATATACACCACTGATTCCGTCAGGATACACAAGCTGCTTGGAGTGGAATAAGACAGCTGAGTTGTGATCCCAACGATTCTCGTTTCGGCAAGGTTCATCTCTGTCGGTAGGTTCTATGGTGATTGCTGTGCTGATCAGGATTTCCGCGGTCATCAAATTGTTGTAGACCGCCGGTCTGGCCTTGTGAGCATATTCGGAGGCAACTGGACTACATGCCGGTACTACTCCCGTTAGAAGCATGCTAACACGTCATGGTGATGCACAGGTTGATGGCAGAAGAATGTGTTGACAAGGCACTGTCCTTGCACAAGAAGGATGTTTCTGTGAAGTACCCTTGCCGCACGTATAAGTTGAGACTTATAGGCAGCCAAGATCCGAGGTAGACCGGAGATTAGATCGATTATGCTAACTCAATGCTTGTGGACATAGGTTCCCATCGTGGCATGCAGATTCATCACTTCGAGTGAAAACGATGGCAATGGAGTTGCACAGAGAGTATGCAGTCGATGTGGATGGTAGCCTTCCTCCGCCGAGGTTCCAGGATCGATTCCTGCATCCATCATTTCTGCAGGTGCGACCATCTAGCTACGACCTACGGCGCGTTAGCCC